GCAGGCAATACAACAATAAAGGTCCAAATTATCTCTATGGCATGTCGATTCATATGATAAATTAAAGCCCTACGGAATCTGTATTAACAGCTGTATAGATGGTTTTCCGAGGCAAATCAGTGGTTGAAAGTGGAATCAACCTCAAGCGACCCTAAGGTTAGAAAAAATCATTAATTCTGAATCAATTAATAATTTTAAGAATAATCATTTCGAACTGATGTTGATTCATATGATAAATTAAAGCCCTACGGAATCTGTATTAAAAGCTGTATAGATGGTTTTCCGAGGCAAATCAGTGGTTGAAAGTGGAATCAACCTCAAGCGACCCCAAGGTTAGAAAAAATCATTAATTCTGAATCAATTAATAATTTTAAGAATAATCATTTCGAACTGATGTTGAAACCAAAACAAATATTTCACTTGAATGCACATTTTTGAAGATGCTCATGTCAACGATATTTCATTAAATTTTACCACACATGATCAAAACAATAGAATTGAATAATACAAGTTGATTTCTCTCTGATGTTCGTTTAGCTGCCGATTAATTTTTTTTCACATGAATTCAAAATGTCCTAGGTAATTGGAGGATATTTCTTAGAAATAGTGAAGTCCAATGGAGGAGGTCCCAGAACTTTACGAACCTATATGGGCACTAAATATGGAGTAATGGAGAGGATACAAAAAGCCTTTCATGAAGTATTTGCTGAATCAACAAATCGACCATGTTTTTTTTGTATGGAAAAAGCATGCATAATCAGAGGATAGAATCTTGGGGGTCTATATCACGTGAACATAATGCACAATACTGTATGAATTTATTTAAAGCCCCAATAGAAGACAATTTATTTGATATATCATTTTTGGACAAGTCCCTAGTTCAATTTTGTTTCATACCATTAGTACAAGTGAGAGGTAAATTGTTAATGAAATTTTTAATTATAATTTTTATTTCAGAGTGATCTTGATCAAGTATGTTTGGAATGGAGTATTCCTAGAATACGGAAAACAATTATTGCTCCAGCAGGGAGACCAAGTATATTATATGCAATGCCTTCCCTTTATGGACTTACAGATTACCTCATCAAGATTCCATAATTCGCTTTAAAACGTTTTTCGTCGGAGTATACATATCCCCGGACAGCCTGTTATGAAGATTTTTGGAAATTATGTTCAATTTTGATGCAACAAAATAATTTCACAAGGTCCCTAGATCCTTATGCCACATTTGATTCATACATTAACCTCTGAAAGGAATTAATTACGTTATTTCAATAAATTTTAGATTGATAATTATGCATTAATATTATTAATTACCTTTTTAAAAAAAGTTAATGCTTTTTGCACTAGTAGGAGAAAGTCGACTCTGGCCAAAATATTATTTATCATCATAGTAAATTAATATAATCAGTAGTAATATCCGTATTTCATTATTAAAACTTATCTAAAATTCAGTTTTTTTACTACAACTGAAGAAATTTCTTAAACGTCATGTAGAAACACTGTTTGCAATGGCAACCAACTAATACTGTCGGTATTTTCTTCGAAGAGATACAATATTTATTTGTTGGGTATTATGGGTTTTCTCTCCTCCTTTCGAAAAATCATAGAGATTTGATGACGCAAAAAAACTAACTGGAGCAGAATCGTTTCCGAAATTTCAATCAAAAAATGAGTAGGTTTCGAATATTCCATGAAATCGATATCTGTCATCTTTCTTCGTAAAAAACATACCACCATGAGAAGATTGGAGCACTGCCGAAGTGATTTGAAAAAAGTGTCGAAATTTCAAGATAAAAGTTGAAATTACGAGATAAAAGTCTAAATTACGAGATAAAAGTCGAAATTACGAGATAAAAGTCGAAATTACGAGATAAAAGTCGAAATTACGAGATAAAAGTCGAAATTACGAGATAAAAGTCGAAATTACGAGATAAAGTCGAAATTTCGACCGCTGTGTGAACCAGTAGTTGGAACCGCAAGGCCGGACGATCGATTTTTACTTCCTATCGTCCAACCCGTGTTAGAAATCACACTTTAAAATGTAAGACCTCATTAGTCCTTAGCTCGCACAAGTTTAGACTTTTGATAGTTGTCGTCCGTAGGGGAGCGACAGCTGGTTAACGGAAAAACAGACAGAAACAGGCAGATTTTTTGAACAGATCTCGTACATGCCAAATCATCAGTTAATTATCTAGATGTCAGTAACAAAAACAAGAAAGTGATAACAAGAGCTGCACATTTCATAAGTTTGATAAACCTGGAAGTAGATGCAAGCATAACAACAGCAAGGCGAATATACAAACTGATCTGTACCCACGGTATCTTAATATCAAACAAAAAACCTTAAATATAATTAAAGTATCTGAAACAACATCAGGAAAATAACATGAATAAGGCATCCCAATAACCCTATTAACAACCTACCAATCCCTCTGCTGTATCACGTTATAGGTATTATATCGGCATAAAGGCATAATACCTGTAAGGCGCTACTCACTCAGAAGAATGCTGAAAAATATGACAATGTAGAAATATTCGGAAAGTAAGCTGGGACGAGAAACCCCGCAGCAAGGTTCTGACATCACCACCCAACAGAAGCACTTCTTGAAAAACAAACACAACACAATTAATTCATGTTTTATTTGGTCATTTGCATATATGTATTTTTCTGTTGGGAAATATTGTAAAATAATTTGAAACAATTTTATAACACAGGCGAAAAGATTCGGTTGATGGTCAGTTGTGCAAAATTGTAACTTTGTTCAATAAACTACAATTATTATTATTACTATATGTAGTAAAAGTAAATGTATCAGAAGTACCATTGAAAATAAGGTACTGCTTAAATCAAAACTCTTGTACTCCCCAAAGTTTTCACTGTGTATTTACTCTTGTGAGACAAGTGCTGGCCATAATAGTGACTTGAGAAAGCTGGGACCATCAAAGAAAGGAAAAAGTTTTTGTTACTCACAATAAATATTTCGATTGTTATTGTATATTATGTGAAAATATATTAGTGAGATTGAGAATTTTAATGTAGCTAATGTGTTCTTTGAATACAAATATTTCAGCTTCAACCTAGAGAATCATTTATAAATATTTTCTTTGTCAGTAAGAAACGATTTTTACAGTTATCTAATATATAAAAATGGATGTTTGTTGGTTGGTTGGTAAGTGATAAACTTCTACATCACTCAACCGATCGTGATGAAACTTGACATGTATAAGTAATTTTTCATTGAGAAGGTTTTTAGGCTATCAATTTTTCTGTAACTCGCCACTAGATGGCGCGGTAGAACAAATTTTTGAAAGCACTGTTCTATAACGCTGCACACGCCTAATTTCGTTGATTTTGATTCTGTCAAAACATTGGAGCAACAGCGATACAGCAACATAGTACTAATTAGTACTATGTTGCTGAAGTTATACTTCTCGTGGAAACCTCTATGAATGTTTCAGTATGATCAGGACAGGAATCTGGAATGTGAGATCCAAAGAGTGAAACATGGTAGTGTCTGAAATGAAGCAAGTGAGCAAATACTTATTATCATTTACTTATAGTGACTCTAGAAGCTAATAGATGAAATGGTGAATGCTAATAGAAGGAATGACGAATGTGAAGAATGTTGTTTCAGATCAATGAACAGATTATTGAAGATATGATTAAAATTAATAGAACTGGATAACAAATTGAAAGATCAAATTGATCAAATCCACAATATGTTTATGTTATGTATGTTTTTTCTGTTAACCAGCTATTGTACCCCTAAGAACGACAACCCTCAGAAGTCTAAACTTGTGCGAGCTATGGACTAACGAGGTCTTACCTTTCAACCTGTGATTCCTAACACGGGTTGAACGATAGCAAGTGAAAATCAGGCGTACAGCCTGGAGCTTGAACCATTGACCGATCGACTAAGTGAACAAAGCACCCATGTAGAACCACCCGGCTACTGACAATGATAATATAAAACAAAACACTGAAACATTCACATTATTTTCTGGTTATTCATTCTATCTATGAACTAGTAAAGACAAAAAAGAATCATGTTTGCCAAAATGAAATGAGTTAAAAAATAGTGGAAATCGAATCAACTATATGATTTGAGTACGCATTTGTAATTTCATGACACCAATAAATGATAATGATATCATAATACTTCAAAATAAGCAAAAAATTAACTTTTGAATACTATGCATGCCCAGAGAATTTTAGAAGGTTAAATACAAATATACAAAAATAAAGTTGAATGTTTTCAATACATAACCTATAATACTTACGCATGATCGTGAAATATGGATCCTAAAACAGGATAGGAAAGCCTATCCTCCTTTATACTAATAGTTCCGTCAGGTCTCACTACCAGTGGATCTAAGGTAGGATGTCCAAATTGGAATAATTGATAATATAGTCTATCGACACTGAAAACATATTGATTTGATTAAAATATTTACAAAAGTGACTTACATCTATTCATAAGACAAAAATCCCCAGATACGTAAATAAGATACAAATTTATTGGGAAAAACGCTTTTTGACTTTCACTTCTCCATCTTGATACAAAGAATTGGGAGAAACCTCCAAAGGAAGGAAGAGAGCAAATAGTTTGAAATAATTTCTTTACAAAGATGTGTAGATCGTGCATAGAAGTTAACAAACGATTAGTTATTGTCAAACTTTGCAACATATCTAGGTGAATCACTGTAGCAATTTATTTCATATGCTTCAAACTGCAAATGTAAATGCTCCAGGTTTTTCTAGAGTTACCATCTTCAATTATTTGACAATGGCCCATAAATTCAAAATGATTATTGTTCCCACACATCAGAACTGCAAAACTAGTTTCAACGTACGTTCCACCAACCAAGTTTTCCATACAGTTTTTCTCCTAATAACGCTAACTTGTTTGGTGACTATCAAAAGATAAAACTAGAACCTCTGACGTAGAATAAATCCAAAACAAACATTTTTCCCAATCACCAGAAATGCAATAATCTTCTTGACGTGCTTTTCACCAACCAAGTTGGCGTCTTCAGGAGATTGAGAAAACTAAATCTTTCACTAACCAAGTTGAAACGTGTGTCGAGAAGGGTATTACATTTCTGGTGATTGGAAAAATTTATTTCGGATGAACATGTCTATTGAAAAGATAAGAAATGCCATCTTTTTTACTGTCTTTTGAATTTATCTTCCTTAATTCAATAGAAGGCTGAATTAACATATCTATAAGATAGATAGATAGATATCCTTTATTAGTTCTTTGTAATAAAAAACCTTTTCAGGTGTAGAACATGTTGACATTTGTGTTGCCACTTTATCTATGTGGCTCCAGTCCAGCTTTGAGTCAATTATATTTCCAAGAAAGGAAAGTTGGGTCACTGGTTCTAAAATAGTTACACCATCACTAAAAGTATTATTTATGCCGTTTTGAGTAAAAGATATGATTTGTGTCTTGGTTATGTTCAGTTTGAGATTGTGTGATGTAAAGTACTCCTCCAGAATCTTTAGCTTGAAAAAAATATTTGCCTGTAGGTAGTTGTGATCGGTTGAAGTGAAAACCACAGAACAATCATCGGCATACTGAACAATGTATTCATCAACAACTTCAGGCACATTGTTAGTGTAAAGAATGTATAGTAGTGGGCCCAACACTGACCCCTGGAGTACACCTTTTACAATATTTTCTGATTTCATTAGATTTCCATCAGTATCCCTTTCAATAACACATTGCTGTCTATTTTTCAAATAAGACACAATTAGTTCGAGTGGCAGCCCTCTGATACCGTAGAACGACAGTTTTGTGTCTATGGTCAACACTGTCAAAAGCCTTGGACAAGTCCAGATTGACAGCTGTTGTAGTCTTTTTACTATTGATAGATTCAATTACCTTACTTGATAGCTTGATAGTTAGCTCGAGTAGTGGATTTTTTTCTTCTAAATCCATTCTGCATATAACTTAGAAGATCATTATTCCCTAGATACGTTATCAGTCTATTGTATATTATTTTTTCAAAGATTTTACTAACATTTGACAATATTGCAATAAGCCTATAGTTAATTATTTCATGACATGGGCAATTTTTAGATTATCAGGAAAAATACCTGTCAAAAATGATAAGTTGACAGATTTAAACAGATTTTTAAACTATGTGTGCAATAGGTTCACACATCTCATATGCTACATGTTTCAGTAATTTAGTTGGTATTTCATCTTCACCTACTGCTTTACTATTTTTTAACTTCAGAATAGTATCATAAACTTGTTTTGAATCTGTTGGGAGAAAGAATATGCTTTTATCAATAGATGGAGGTTCAAAATACTTATTGCTTTTATTTACACTATTCAAAGCTGTGCAGTTAATAATAAAGTACTGATTCACCTCATTTGGAGCTAGTGTTTTATTAGTTATATCTGGAGAAATGTTTTCCAATACTGACATAGGTGTCTTAGTGCCTGAACCAGTAATCAGTAATCTGTATAATGTTTGAATCAGGAGGACTTTCTTTCAGTTTGTGTCTGAAAGTTACTTCTTTGCATGATCTACACATCCATATATAGAGTTACTTATTTTCAAATGGATTAATCCTTCCTTTCTTTGGAAGATTCTCTCATCCATTTTTTTGTATCAGATGGAGTAGTAGAAAGCCAAAAACTTTCTTTGTATAATGTTGTTTATGTTTGCTTGATGTCTTTATTCCTATGGTAATCCAATCTCTATTTTTCAAGTTGGTGTCTGTTTTACAAGATTTTAGTAATGTGACTATATTCATTAGTTGTCTGAGGACTCCAGTGAAATAGTTATAAGCTTCATTTGGATTTTCATGGGAATAAAGTTGATAAATGTTAATATTTCTCAATTCATTCTTCAATTGATCAAGCTTAGCATCTGAGAATACTCTTTTCTTATTTTTGTATTTGTTTTTTAGTTTCAGTTTTTCCTGATCTTTCAATTCTGAGCATTCGAGTCTCATGATTGGATAATGCAGAGGTAATAACTTCTCCAGGATGATCGTTTTCGAAGTTTATAAAAATATTATCCAGTAGTGAAGAACATCTTGATGTTATTCTTGTTGGCTCATTTATTTGTTTGTGCAGATTATATGTTAATGAGAGGTGTAGAAAAGACTGTGTGGTTGCATTATTTGGATCATAAGATTGATATTGAAATCACCACATAGTATTGTATCATATTTCCTGAATTTATTTTGTACAATATCAAGTATTTCACTGAGAACTTGTAGGAATATATTTAAATTTCTAGAAGGGGGCCTATAGATACAAATTATAATACATTCAATTTCCTTACAAAATACCGATGAGCACTCTATTATTAGAACACATAGTGAACTGAATACATTTTGTTTAAATAATAGGTCATGTCATGTGTTCAGTTATAGCATATCAAAAAAAGACGTACATGTTTATTCATTTCCACAAATAGATACAACTTGTTCATTAAGCCTTCATTGAAATTGTGGAAGGTATATTTTGAAGGGCACTAAAGAAGGTAACTTTGTTATATTTCCAATACTCATATAAATTCTACAGTGACTTCATTTCTTGTTTAATTTTGTAACACTACCTCACAACCACTGAAAAAGTCCCTTGTGAAATTGCCATAAACATGTAAAATCATTAACAATTATGATGTAATTTATTGGAAAAGATAAGGGTATACTCACGGATTTTCGCGATTTCTTCAGGGATGATACTACATGATGGTAGGAATTCAGAACACTTTTTATTTTTAGTCGAACTCAATTAGTTTTCAAGATATAGCCTGTCAAAGTTTGTATGATGTCAGACAATTGCAATTATAATATTTTTTGTTCACACATCTTTTTCCATGTCATCCCACTTTTTTCTATACCTTTAAATATTCAAAAATACGTTTGTTTTCGGATTCGGAGGTCAGGTTAGATGTTGATTTTTTTTAAATATTAAATAATCCAAACTACGTTCCTCTCAGAATTCGGAGGTCAGGTTAGATGTTAAGGATATACAGATTAAAAATTAAATATTTGAAAATATGTTTGTTTTAGAATTCTAAGGTCAGGTTAGATGTTAAGGATAGATAGTTTTTCAAAAATAAAATATTCAATTCGGCGTCAAAGTCAATGCATTTCATACACAGAAAGAGGCTGTCATTTTTTTGTTCGATTGTTCTCTGTATCTCAATATTTAAAATGTCAATGCTGAAAAAAAAAGACATCATTTTGATACTTTAACAGGCTATATCTCAAAAACTAATTGAGTGCGATTAAAAAAAATTAGTTGTTTTGAATTCCTACCATCATATAGTGTCATTCCAGAAAAAATCGCAAAAATCCGTGAGTATCCCATAAAGTACAATTTTCCCAAAGATAAAATTTTGACGTAATTACATGTTGTGTATAAAAAGAATAGAACTGTCAAGTGAATATATATACCCAGTATATAACAATGAAGATTTTCTAATTATCAGAAAACACCAATTTGATTGGTGAAATAAGCGTCGAGAACAGTATTGCAGTTCTGATGATTGGGAATAGTGTTTGTTTTGGAGTCATTCCAAGCCAGATGTTCCAGTTTTACCTTTTATTAAAAATATGTCAGTATAATGAAATATTTCTTAGAAATGAGCATCAGCCAAATAACCACCAAGTAAGCATGAATGAATAAACATTCATTGAAATGTAAATAATTTTGCTATGAAACATGGTTATTGCAAATTGTCAGTATTGTTGATCCAGGGAATTTTTATCTCATGAATATAAATTTAGTACTTCCCAGTGTAATCAAGGGTCAAAATGGCTCATTCATCAACTGCTTCCACACATTATCAAATTTAAGTTATTTGTACATCTCACCTTCTTCGACATCCAACACATGGAACATTTTGATTCAATACATGCATAAGTTGAGATTTTGTAATTTGAAGAGCGCTATGTAATTCTTGCGAAGACAAGACTCCCCACTTGCAAGCAAACTCCTCTAATTCCTTTCCACGTAACAGTTGATTATCACAAATGATTCCAGAACTTTTTATATCCATAACCAACTGAAAAGAAATTCTAGGTCAAGTTTTGTGGTTAGGGCTAAAAAAATGAGTAATATCATTAGTATTAAACATTCTCCGAGGATTTTCCTCCCACCATGAATTAATATCTATAAAATGAGGGCAATTATGATTATTAATTGAAAATTTTCCATTGATGAAGTTTTCTTTACCGTTAAATTTTCATCAACAACTAAGGGCAGTTGCCTCCTACTAAGAGGGTTCGTTGGACGAAAAACATCAACCAGTTTGGGCAGTTTTTCTTTATTATTCATATCAATGAATTTTCAGGTCCCTGATAGAACGTTTATTCTTTCCAATAAGTTGATGAATTTTCAGGATATAAAATAAATAAAGACACTTCATAAAATGACAACTACTTCCATTTGCAATGAATCTATCATGAACACGAAACATGAAACACGGAACAGAAAAGTAGTTGTAGTAGCTGCAGAACGAAAACAAGAAAGTAAGAAGTCACGGAAATATAAGCATGGCACGATTGAAGTTTGGTGTTCAATTAATGTAAAAACGACACCAATAGGTACATATACAGTTCTGATATAATTCTTCGTCTTACAATGATTATTGAAATTCATGTATTATACAGTGTGTTTCACTTTTCATGGAAGAACCTCTGTAACTTCCGTAATTATCAAGCTAGAACGATGAAACTCGCAGGATTGATGAAAATACACTTACCGATTCGATGGTGTTGGTCAAAGTGATATACACGGACCTCAATTCGTGATGAAAGAATCCATTTTTACGGAAAATTATACTAAGGGGCAAAATAGGCTGAAAATTTATTCAGATTCGTGATCAGAACCCCCAAATTTTTTCTGAAAAAAATATCAACCCTGAAAAATTTAAATTTGTTTCACTTTTCATGGAAGCACCCCCGTAACTTCCGTAATTATCAAGGTAGGTAACAAACTGGCAGAATTGATGATAATACTGAAAATACACTTACCGGCTAAACGGTGTTGGCCTAAGTGATATATATTGCCCGCCAGTCGCGATGGAAGAACCCATTTTTTCGTTAAATCATACTAGGGGGCAAAATAGGTTGAAAATTTCTTCAGATTTGTGATCAGAACCCCTCCAAATTACTACAGGTACACTTTTTACTGAAAAAATATAAACCTTGAAAAATCCAAATTTGTTTCACATTTCATGGAAGCACCCCATAACTTCCGTAATTATCAGGGTAGAATGATGAAACTCGCAGGATTGATGAACATGCTGAAAATACACATACCGGCTAAATGGTGTTGGCCTAAGTGATATTTACTGCCCGCCAGTCGCGATGGAAGAACCCATTTATACGGTAAATCACGCTAGGGGGCAAAATGGGCTGAAATTTTTTTCAGATTCGGGATCAAAACCCCCAAATTACTACAGATAGACCTTTTTCCTGAAAATATATCAGCCCTGAAAAATACAAATTTGTCTCACTTCTCTTGGAAGCACAAACATAGACGCGTTTCGCTAACACCGTAGGTTCCTCGGTAGGATGCTACCGAAAAAGTCCTTGTTCGAAGTAAAAACAACCTTAGTATAACCCTATATACAAAGAAACAACAGTTCTGTGGATTGTCCTTGGTCTTTGGTCTATTATTTTAATTTCTCAATAGATGTCGCCCTGACCGCGATGGTAAATGTGATTTTTGAGTTATTGTTTATTTGAATTGTTTAATTGAAGGTTATATAAGGAGGAGTACGTTGCGTTAAACATTTACTTGGTAGTATTCATTTTACGGCTTCCAAATAAAAGAGTTTTGAGGATCAACTTTGAAATGAAGACTCTTAGAATGAAGAAGAAACTGTTTCAATTTTCCCAGACAGAAATAGGGAAACCTTCTTTTTCTTGGTTGGTCAAAAGAAAGACATATATTGATTAAAGTTAAAAGGTAGTTTATTTTTGAGATGGTATTTCAGCCAAACGTTTTAAAATTTATTTTCTTAGTATTATAAATGATAATTGAGTTCAGTGAAATAGAGAATGTCTTTGGCGGGCGATCAACAATTTTGTTTGAGATGGAATAATTTTCAAGCAAACATAACTTCTCAATTTGAAACATTGCGCGACGACGAGGATTTTACTGATGTGACAATTGCCTGTGAAGGGCAGAGATTACAGGGTCATAAAGTTGTATTATCTGCTTGTAGTCCGTTTTTCAAAGAACTGTTTAAAGTAAGAATAATTTGTTGTTGCTGGCTTCAAAGTTGTATCTACCATTATTACAAGTAGTGCATTGAAATGTATAAGTAGTGCATTGGATGTTGTTTATGGAAACTGACGTTTTAGAAAAATTAAATTTACAATTATTTCCATTAATAGATATATTTTATTAACTATGTTATGCATAAGTACATTTGCAGCAGGTCTTTTACTAAATCAGAAAGGCATAAGAATATAAGAACTTATTTAAATATTCACAAACCTTGAATAGTTAAATATGTTCAGTAAATGATAAATAATGTAAAAATGAGATATATTTAAAAACTTAACATTGTAGTTCAAAAATTCATAGAAAATTTAAACAACATAGTCGAACAAAATTGGTCGTTTGTTGGAATTCCACTATTGTTCAAAAACCAATTCATCTTTTTAGGTTCACAAGTTTAAATAAGGTATCCCAAAACAAGGATTAATATAAAATATGTATATCGCTACATATTTGTATCTGTAATTTTTTTTTTCAAAGTGTGAGAGATCTTTGAATTTGAATTAAAACAACACTTCATTGTGAGATTTTCAACACGTGTTTAATTATACAAAGCTTCTTCAGGCATATTCAATAACAACAAAAAGTAGTTGTTAGTAATGAACATGTTTGAAGAAATTATTGTTAAATGAAGCATGTCGCCATTTGGTAAACTGTTTAATGGAAACAGAAAACTATAATGATTGGTTGTGCACTGAAGTCACGATAACTTGATTTTTTATAAGCTTATTACTGTTATTGTGAGTTTCTACTATCCACATATAAATAGAAGATATTCATGGCCTACATAAGCAAATACTTTTGTGATCGAGTCTATATTAGTCAGAATATTAGTGGAAACGATTGATTGTTAAAGGGGAGCTGAACTTTTTAAAAGTGGAACCTGACTTTCTATTGATTTAGGTATAACTTAGAAGACATTTCACTTTCTATTATTGACTGCTTGTTGCTAAGTTACCAATATGTAGGCAACTGATTGAGTGGACAAATGCATATTGAGAAAAAAGAAAAGTGGTAGTTTAGATTTCAGTTGTTTAGATGAAAAAATTATGCTTACTTGGTTTTCAACAAAAGTGATGTTTTTTTATTTCCAACTGTAACCAGTAGAATAAAAAATCGCTTATTGCAAAGAAACACCTAGAATAATGTTGGCAGTAATAACAATTTTGATAAAGAAAGAAAGAAAGAAAGCCAAAAACTCTCTCAAAAATTAGTCACTTCTAAAAATATAACCTCATCAATTTAAATTTTGATAAACATTTTAACAAATGATCTTTGATTTCGCCTTCCCCACCTCTTATTCTGAAGATCCTGTCAATTGAGAGGGAGTGAAAAATAGTTACTGAAAAAGAAATCATAGAGCATAACAACGACAGGTATTGAAACCTTATCAAAAAATCGTTGTTAAACATGTATTCAGTATGTTGTGACAATCTGAATTTATCAAAAGTGACAAGTTTTGCATCCTTTGTTTTTTTGCATCCTTAGTTTTTTTGCTTTTTTTATTAGTTTGGAAATTCTAAGATTCTCAGATACATATCTTCGTTCAATTTTGTCTGCTTATTTAATATTAGATAAGAGGGGAACATAACTCTCAAAAACATGTAAGTGATCTGTCTTCTTCAAAGAAAATTTCCAGCTAAATGCAGCAAGTGGCATATTACCAATTATTAACCATATTTTGTAGTGTCTTACTCTATTTGGTTATTACAAATATCTAAATGGAAATACTAACTGAGAAAATCAAAACTAACAAACAAATGTAAATGAACTGAATGAAAAATAGTAGAAATGAAGATAATGGACTGTAGGTTTGTAAAACCATTTAATCAATCCAAAAGAAAAACAGAAAACCATCTCAATATTTCATTATGCAGCATCGTGTTTTAAAATAGATAGAATAAAAAGAATTGCACGAGGAAATAAAAAGATATGTTGGTTCAGCAAGAATCCATAAACTAGAGAACACAACATGAACATAAAATAGCCATTCCCTTAGATCAGATATAGCCATTCATGTAAAATAACTCATTCTGGATCAAGTGGATGAAAAAAAATCTTTATTCTACCAACAATGAATATTGCAACTACTCAAGTGAGCTCACAGTATGAATCACTGTTTATACTGGTTAATGAATCCTCTAAGTTTTTAAGATGAAGATCGTTGTAACACGGTATTTTTGTCTTCAAATATTTGCTCGAAGATGTCATATGTTTTAGGAAAACTAATGTTGAACTTGTAGATAATACCTCGAATATATGAGTTATACAAAGGAACCTTTCTGTTCATTTGATTTATACATGATATGGCAGATGCTAGTGAGCTAATGTTGATAGGAGGCTTGAATCACGACACTCAATTTTTATATCTAAAATCTGTAAAATCTGTTTTTCCGTTAATCATAAAGTTTTATGAAAATATGTGTAATATTATATGTAATATATATTAGAGGTACACAAGAAAATAGAAAGAAGTGATTAGTAATTTATAGATAATAAACAAATTCAGAAAAACCATCATTGGATGTCACTTTGCCATTGAAAGTTGATTTTCTTAAGGTATTTGATACTGTATGTTAACAATCTAAAGATTTAGTTTTAAAACCTACTACCTACAACTTGTCATCAAAACTTTACATTTTGCTTTAACACTAGCATTTTTAGAGAAATAAATACTCAGTTGAAATTTATGAAAATCTGTGACAAAGAAATAATAGGCGAAAAAGTCTTGAACAAGAGGTAAAACGAAGTTATTTTCAATCATTAATATTTATAACAAAATACTCAAATACTCAAAATACTCAAAACTTTGTCGTCTATGATCATGAAGAATAAATTAAAAACTTTGTGCTTCTCCCCAAAGCTTATTATTCACTGGAAGAAATCTTCAATGATAATTTAAACTAATGTTGTTCACATTGAATATTTCATGTTGTATCATTCTGCATTGTGATTGTAGTTTAGTCTCTTTTGAACCCTACATATAGATGTATATGTTCGTGTTCTGTATCTAATATAGGTAATATTACATTAAGTATATTCACTGTACCTTGTTATTCATACATCTGTGTCCATTTATATTCTTATATGCTTAACCAATATTAATGACACTGCATCATGATTTTCTACTACTTCTATAATGTTTACTGTAATTGACATGTTTTACACCTGAGAAGGTTTTTTATTACAAAGAACTAATAAAGGATATCTATCTTATATAAGGACACAAATGAAAACATGTATGACATATATTTGTCTTTTGATATTCAAAACTGACTTGTAAATTTGTATAGAAATACTGTAACAAAATTTCCAACTTTTTTCAGACAAACCCATGCTCTCACCCCATTATTTTCATGCGAGATGTGGAGGCTCGTCACATTATAGCATTAATGGAGTTCATGTACGCAGGAGAAGTGAATATAGCCCAAGCTCATTTATCAACATTTCTCAAAACAGCAGAATCTCTGAAAATTCGTGGATTGACAGATACTTCAGCAGACTTCAAAAATGATGGAGACACCCTATTTTCAAACCATCAAAAAAGTTCCATACTGAAAAATAATTTATGTAAAACACCAGCAATATCATCTTCAAGTACCGTAACATCTAGTCAAGACATACCTGATATCAGCTTACCAAATGAGTCAAGTCCACCTTTGAAGAGGGTTTGTAAGTCTGAACCTCAGCTATTCCATTTGAAAAAGGAGGAAGCAATTAATCCTTTCGCTTTTATTGAGAATTGCAATCAGATGGAAACACTGAAAAGTATACAGCCAAAAGTAGAGCTTCCTGACTATTTGAGTGATGAGGGAGATGAAGATGTTGATGAAAATGAGACTGATGGTTTGTCACATTTTTATCCAACAGCAGACTTAACCGAATTACCAGGTGAGTTACTATCGATGTCTATTTATCCCAAGTGGACCAAGTTTAATTGGTCAAAATGTGCAAGTCTATAATTTTTTAAATGTTGCTAAGCAAATGACTTGAGTAGATAATAATGTGATAAAATCCCGAGAACGTAGGTCGAAGTAATAATAGTGACCCAAATGGTTTTGAGAGGGCCTATGAGGATCAGTGTTGAGATTAACTTTTCATAATGAGGAACATTTGTGGGTTGAAATCAAGATGATGACTGAAAAAATAAATCTCTTAGAAACTTTTCATTTTCAATGAAGTTGACCCTACCTATATGTTGTCTAATGGCATGGTACTGCTGAAAGTGATTGTTATTATTATTCACTGTCTCACTATTGTTTGCACTGCACCTTTCACAACTAACTATTTTTTCTTAAGCTAATATTTATGTTCCATTTGATATATCTAGAATCTTGTATATTAATTGGGACTTCCCCATGAATGAATAGATCAATTGATTGAATTTTTTTTCTTTAGGTGGAGTGGAAGTTACTCCTCAAATAACGGGTTTCAATGGGAAGGACGTTATTAAACAGGAACCTTTTGGACAAGGTGAGTAATTAGCAAATTTTTCAATTCTCATTTAATACATTTTTAGTGCACCAAGAAAAATTGTGGTTTTAATTTACATAATCTGGGTACATGACTTTCCTTGAATTCGTGTGATGCTCCTCATTCAGATTTCATGGCTGATAAGAATTAAAAAATCATTTTTTGAATTCATTTTCACATAAAGAATTGCTTATAATCACGTATATGTTTCAGATGTTTCATTATTGATATTTGACATATAATATTAAGAAGACGTGTAATTAGTGTAATTGTAATTAAAAAAATTCAGGCATACCAACCTAACTTCATTTCACAATTTTGCCTTATCT